TTTTGTATTTTTAGTAGAGACAGGGTTTCACCGTGTTTGCCAGGCAAGTCTTGAACTCCTGGCCTCAAGTGATCTGCCCACCTCAGCCTCCCAGAGTGCTGAGATTACAGGTGTGAGCCACAGTGCCCGGCCCAGAATGGATTTTCTGATTCTTACTATGATATTCCTGACATGGAAACACATTAGGTGGGGAACATTTATTTCATCTGATGAAAATGGATTAAAGTATAACATAGTCTCTTTGAGCCCAGTTGCTCATCTATTTGTATGTACCCTCTAAGAGAGGTCATCACTGGACTTAATGATATTTTAAGAAGTCTAGTTTAATATTTTTAGTCTTCCTGTGATCTTGCTTGTGGGCAGGGAGATAAGTTATTTATTTTATTTTTTATTTTTTGAGACGGAGTCTCGCTCTGTCGCTAGGTTGAAGTGCAGTGGCGTGATCTCAGCTCAGGCTCACTGCAACTTCCACCTCCCAGGTTCAGCTGATTCTCCTGCCTTAGCCTCTTGAGTAGCTGGGACTATAGGCACATGCCACCATGCCCAGCTAATTTTTTGCATTTTTAATAGAGACAGGGTTTCCACCTTGTTGGCCAGGCTGGTCATGAACTCCTGAGCTCAAGCAGTCCACCCGCCTCAGCTTCCCAAAGTGCTGGGATTACAGGTATGAGCCATTGCACAGGACAGAGCTTTATTATTTTATTGGATAAATTTATTTCATAGAAATTTCCTCCTATCTAATCTCCTTTATTTTCTTGTTGTTTATTTTGACATCACCATTCAATATTTTGCCTCTAGGCAATAATAGCAAGACATACCACTAAATTCTTGGGAAGATAGATTCTTCTACTGTCAATTTCCAAGATAATTAGGAAATTTAAAGGTGATTAAATTTTAGTTATATGACACTTAAAATCATGAAGGCAGTGTATTTTAATTGCTTTTATGGCATCTAACCATCAACTTTGGCTTTCTTCCTGTCTCCCTGACTTACCCTTTCTTGGTAATAAGTCCTTACTTTATGTAGCCTTGTTTAAAGCACTCTTAGCTTTCAGGGAAGTAAAGTATAAATGAAGTAAGAATTGACATTGTTCACATTCAAACGCAAGTAGCACTTCTCTCCTCCCTTACCCAAACCGCATGACAGTTTTCACCAAGATGGCAGCTTGCACGTATATATTTAATGACGTTTTTCTTATTTGTAAACTTGGACAGTAGTACAATCTATTCAATACTGAGGTATAGTAGCTGTGGCCCTAATTACAGTCTACAGTTGTTTTTTTCTCAAGTCATCTATCTAAGTGAGTTTGATCGGTCTTGAAGTAGATAGAGACTTCCCCAGATACCTTGGCAGGATCACTGTGGTCAGGGGTCTAGTCTGCCTTTTACAAGTATGAGAGTTTAGTTTGTCAGTGAACCTAAATATAACTAGGTCCTTTGGCACAAATTCACACTAAACTCACACCAATAAGTTATAAAACCAGAATCCCAAGTTATTAATTTACAAGGGGAGCTCTACTCCTTCAGTGTGTATTCATCTCTACTGTTCATGATACTCTTTTCCTGGGAATACGAAGAAGTTACTCTGCAAATTAGAGGGCTGACTGGTGAGCAAGGAATCAGAGAGAATGAGGTCAGGAGTTGGAGACCAGCCTGGCCAATATGGTGAAACCACATCTCTACCGAAAATATAAAAATTAGCTAGGCGGCCGGGCACGGTGGCTCACGCCTATAATTCCAGCACTTTGGGAGGTCGAGGCGGGTGGATCACAAGGTCAAGAGATCGAGACCATCCTGGTCAA